GCTAGCATACTTGCTCTGTCTTACCATGTAATAAAGTTCGCTGTTATAATAGAGGGAGAAGGCCCAAGTAGATGTTGAGCAGATGCTTGTACCATGTTCTTGAAATTCCTTACCTTTGGAACTATTAAAAAAAATTTATATATATATATATATATAAAAATAACTTTGTTTCAGGTACTTTGTTAAAACAGAAAATGGATTAAGACACTATACTTTTTAGATTCTCCTAAAAGGCTTTAAGGAATAATATGGTAGGATTTATACTTTAGAAATTATTCTGGGGCAGTATGTATAGAGTGCATTGTAGGGATGTAGGACCAACACCAGAGAGACTAGGAGGTCTGCTGCAATAATTTAGGAAAACTGCTGGGTTAATGGCAGGAGAGAAAGAGAGGAAGAAAGATGAGAGAAAATAAGGGGTTGTACCAATAGGATTTGGTGATTCAGAAATGTTTCAAGGATGATTCAGAGGCTTGCAGCTTGATACCTGAAACTTCTTGGGGGAAAGTCATTTGGACTGCTAAGGGAAAAGGATAAGCTCTCTGAAAGCCCTGTGAGTTCTAGAACTTGCACACAAGAAAGGTATCAACCTTCACATCTCCTACTGTTGTTGAAGCTAAGCTGCAGCTGTACAGAAAGAGCCTGGCAAGTGTACTTCAAGGAAAGAAGGTCTTTTCACTTGTTTAATTTTATCCAAAGACCTAATGAAGTTTTTATTTTTTTAAAAATAGAAGTAGAAAAGTAAGTTGATGTAAACTTTATTTATGATTTCTAGAAGGTGAGTTCAAATTCTAATCCAAGCTCCATGTTGCACATTTTTCTTATAAATACAATAATTCTGGAAGCAAGTAATTCTGGTGATTCACTGTATTCCAAGACTCACAGTAACTCCTTCTTATCCTGAAAGACACTTTGGATCAACTCTTTCTAGAGCTTTGGTGTAAATCTGGCATTGTAACAGTCTCAGGTGGGTCCAGAACTTTTTTTTTAAAAATCGAGTTTAACTATGAATAAGAATACAGAATATTTTAAGGCTAAAGAATCAAAACAAATGCAAATGGAGGCTGAATCCTTATTTGGACTCTTAGCATCTCCCATCTGAAAACTTGTTAGTTCAGAGTAATAATTCTGTATATCAAAGCAATAATATATAACAAGTTTTGTTTAGAAAAACACATTGTATCTGTGGGTTACCCTGGTAAAGTGCAACTATATTTTTTTGCTTTATGACTAATTCCAATTTGCAAAGCAAAATACTGTGGTATATATATATGTTTTACTTGTACTTAATCTTTATTGAAGTTTGGTTTTAAAAGGTACTGTTAATGACTCAACCCAGAGAAATTTATAATGAATATTTTAAATAGTATATTACTTAAAATACAGCATTGGAAAATGTTATCAGAACAGTGGGTAAAGAATATGCAGTATTTATTTTGATTATTAATAGTTGGTGCTGTTCATTAATCAAATTAGAAGTATATAATGTTTAGGGATAAGCTATTTATTCTATGCCCCTACTCCAGAATAAAAAGGAGGAAAAATAGTATGCCACAAAGTTTTCTTTGACATCTTTGTGACTAGAAGAATTAGAAATTAAGGGAGAGCCTGGTGTGGTGATGAACACCTATAATCCCAGCTACTTGGGAGGTTGAGGCAGGAGGATCACAAGTTTAAAGCCAGCCTCAGCAACTTAGCAAGGCCCTAAGCAACTTAGCTAAACCCTATCTCAAAATAAAATATAAAAGGGGCTGGGGGTGTGGCTCAGTGGTTAAGCACCCTGAGTTCAATTCCCAGTACCAAAAGGAAAAGAAAGAAAGAAGAAATTATGAGAAAAAGAATAATATAGGAGTAAATATCCATTGACATATAATACTATTTCCATCTAAAATAATCTAGAAAATAAAAGTCTGTATTGAAAAATAAGTAGTGTATCCAATGGGTTACTCCAGGTGAACTGAGTCAGCTGCTTATAATTTTAATTTTTTTCATCAAATTAATAAAGGAAATTGGCATTACTATTTTATTCTTTTTTTTTGAGAGAGAGAGAGAGAGAGAGAGAGAGAGAGAGAGAATTTTTAATATTTATTTTTTAGTTCTCGGCGGACACAACATCTTTGTTGGTATGTGGTGCTGAGGATCGAACCCGGGCYGCAYGCATGCCAGGCGAGCGCRCTACCGCTTGAGCCACATCCCCAGCCCTATTTTATTCTTAAATATTAAGATACCTGGGAATGACTGATACAATATTAACTTAAATCTTATTTTCTCAGACTCCTTGACTAACGTAACTAGCACTTAAATATGATTTCTACTGTCAGCATTCAATAGTTAATAGTCACTCAATTAATTATCCATTGACGTTAATTTTATCAACTTGCAAAATATAGAAATAATCTGTTTGGGAAGACTGTTTCAAAGGCTAGAAATGGAGCACTGAACATATATACCCAACCATGTTTACCATTAGGATATGATATGTACCAAGTATATTCATAGTTGTTAGAATTTAATTCCTTAGTAGCAGTTAATGTTTACTGACTCCTCTGTGGATTTAGATACTTATATCCAAATATTCACATCTCAGGATTTATATAAATAATCAGTGCCAATTATCTTTGAAATTACCAACAAAAATTAATTTAAAAAAATCATTTGATAACACTGGTTCCCTGATTTTTAACCCTTATTCTGGTCTTGATCACTCATTACAAAATCCATTCATTTTATCTCTTGTCGATGCAAATTCCTTGATTATAATTCTCTATCACCTTAATAAACTATCTGTCCCTATACTTGCAAAGTTAGCAAAGTATAGAAAACTTAAGAAAAGCTAAAAAGGCATAGAGACCTGAGGACCTGAGGAAGTTCCTCAGTTCTGTATATTGCTTAGCAGCAGTGCAACAAATGAGCAACTACAGACAGTAATTGTCTTAAACTAGGTCAATACAACAGCCCAAACACTTTGTAAACACTTTATTTGGCTCTTTCTGGAGATCAACACCGTTCTAATTAAATGCTGTAGCACAGAAGAGCTTAAGAACAACAAAAGTGGTCAACGATAGTTATTTATCTAACATCCTTTATCCAAGAATCTTAAAAATTAACCTAATTCTAATCAAACTCAGTAACTGGGAAAGGTAAGTACTAATGCAAACTGTAAAGGCCAAGAAGAGAAATTAGAAATGTGTTTCTGAATATCTCTGTGAGCTAGATTCTGCAGTCATCTAGTTCTGAGTATATAAATGAAGTATTATTTGCCTTCAACAAACCTAAATTAGGCATAATAACACAGTATTAAAAGCATAATACTTCTTACTATATTTCATTTGTGTTTGTATTTATATTTTACTGATATTTGATTTACTGAAATTTGATTTTTAAAATACTGTAGTCAATTATCTGATCCAATTATTTAACACTGTGAAATTCAAATTTACAAGATTTCTTATTTTGAATATTTTATCTTAATATTATAAGTCTACAGCAGCACACACCAATCATTTTACTTATCTTTCCATTTGAAGGCAATGGTTTATGATAAACTATATATACCATCTTCCTTATGACCTACAGTAGACTGTGAGATGGACASGGAGCGAAGGTACAATCTGTAGCCATGAACTCATTTTGTGCATGAGTAATGTTAACAAACTTATAAAAAGATAAGACATACACTTAGCCTCATTACCACCATAGTCCAACTCTGCTAACTTGTTCAAACTCTTAAATGAGATAATGATAACTGAAGGAAAAGAAACAAAAAGGTTGTACTTCACCATCTTAAGGTTTCACAGGGAGGATGATGCAGGCTTATAATTCAATTCCCACATCCTAAAAAGTGACTTTTCAAGTCATAAAAGTATAGTAATCTGGAATTTTTATAATATAAAGGCTTAATAACCAATTACTACAACTGATATTCATTGTGAGGAATACATAGCTATATGAAATATAGCTTACACTCACAATAGAATTCAGCGAGGTAACCTTTTAAACATTTTTACAGGAAGAAAAATGCTAGAGATTCTTATCAGTAGTTACTAACTAGGTAAATGCTGAAGATCTGCATTCTTAAGATTACTGAAGAGGAATTCAATTTTATCTTTGCTCAAATGTCTGTTAGGCTTATTAAAGATAAGACGGATGTATGAACCACCAGTAGTGGTATTAAACCCAATCACTTTCAAGACAGGTTAGATATAGAGGTATCAAGAGATTTCGCGAATTTGGTTCATTGACAGTAAAAATGGAATTTAAAAAGAAAGACTGCATACAGTCTGCTGGCATTTTATACTAACCATTAGCAGAGGTAGTAATGTAAAGTGTTGGAATTTAAAATACAAGGTCAGCATTAACTGTAAACAATTTGAAAATATAAGTAACTCTTCAAAATAAGTAGTAAATAAAGAATCTGTCAGTATACTGATAAATAAAGAATTAAAATTCATGTAAAATCAGAATTAAAAAAGCAAAAAATAGAAATATTTAGTGAATTTACTCAAATGAAGAAAGTTTACATGATACAGAAATGAAAAATATTAGAAATCTATATACAATAAAAAGTGAATATAAATTAGCCAACTCCATGAACATTTCCAGTTAAACATTAATACAAATACATATTCACCTTTTTCTTTACAGAGATAACACATACGTACATGACATGAACATTCTGGCCAAAAAAAAAAAAAAAAAAATATCAGAGCTTCTAAAAACATTCTCAAGTTTCAAAACTAGTATGGAAAATGTTTCAACAGCCTTCTACATGAATGTAAACCCCTGATTTAATTAATTTCATGATTTTACGATGCCAGAACTATGGTTGTTTTTAATTTTTTTTTGTACTGGGTATTGAACTCAGGAGTACTTTGTCATTGAGTTATATCTCCAGCCCTTTTTAATTACATATTTTGAGACAAGATCTTGCAAAGTTACTGAGGCTGGCCTTAAACTTGTGATCCTCCTGCCTCAGCTTTCCAAGTGGCTGGGATTACAGGCATGTACCCACCATGCCTGGTGGGTTTTTTTTTATTTTTAAAAAACAGATATTGGTATCATAACACATTGGCTTATTAATAATTAAGGCATTTATATACACAGTATCTCAGTGTGGACAGAACATTTTTAATATTGATTATTTACTATGATGTTTTAAACTTTGAAATTTATTCAACATAAGAAAATAGCTGCACACATTCAAGTGTTTTTTTTATAAAACACAATAAAAAATTAATAATGATTGGTCTTTGTGGTTCCTAGTAATAAGTCCTGCCTTATTTTTTCACATAGTATAAATTATATTCTTATGCAGGACTGCATTAAGACCAATAGTTCTTAAACAATGTTACCAGATAACCACATAAATCCCAAATGCAGCAAAGGCGAACAATCTTTGTAGTGCACTTTCACCTCATTGAAGTTGAAGCTGCTCYGTTTGGATATTTTTCCACTTCAATGTGAAGTAGATTGTTAGGTTTTCATTAGTGGTTTCATTATGTGGCTTTTTAAAAGAAAAAATGGTTTCAGTTTCTTCCACAGTTCATAGTTCTCAGAAGAGACTTGTTTTTGTAAATCATATAATCCAGGATGTTTTGAATAACCAAATGCTCTTTAGTAGACGAAATATCTCAATGCAACTGTAATAAATAAGCATCTACATCCTTAGAGGATAAAACAAAAACATTCCATTAGCCAGCATGGTAAATACAAATACATACAACCCATTTTCTCTTCACTTTTGTTGATTGATTTGCCTTAGTTTCTCTTTGTGGCCTGTAGAAGTTACAAGTCAAGTCTTATATGATATTTTTATATGCATTTGTTTAGCACAGGGCCTGGCACACAGCACACATTCAAGAAATGCCAGTTAAGTGCTGGGTGAATGTTTTGGTTCCTATGCTCAGACCACTCTGCTTTCGTGGTTAAAACTGATAGGAATTTGACCAGCGCTATGTAAACTCAAGGGCTGGAGCTTGATGATAGCCCTCTGTTTTCTACCTCCAAAAAATTACAAATTAATTGAAGGTTTAATTTGGTTTATTATTGGCCTTTTAATATACTGGCCATATTTCACTCAACAGTCTTCAATAATAAGCATAATACCTTGAGACTATGTTCACTATAAAACTTTTCTTAATGTAAAAAATTAAAATTTAAAGCAAATTTTTAAAGAAAGGATCATTTTTTTCAGTTGTACTGTCTAAAATGCAAGGCCTTCTAACAGAAGTGGATATGTATATTCTATTTGAAACAACAAAACTAAATTGATTTGTTTGTATTATCATTAAGAATTCTATAAAGTAAAATCACACAATGTGATAACACATTTGGTTAATGTCATTTTTTTTCTGTTTCTGAATGTATCCAAGAAGAATCCATGATATAAATTCTCTTATTTAGACTGTTTTCTTAAACCAATGAATACATTTATAATTTTGGTTAATGTTCACTTATGATAGTAGTATGCCCCCAAACAATGTTTCTTTACAATAATTTCTTCTGTAATATAATTACCAATGATTTATGGAATTTAAATACTGAAATCCAAACTGGCAACATACCTTTTCCTTTAAGAGACAAATCAATAAAGATCAATGTCAAATTCATTCTGTGAATTAAACTATTCACTTTTTCAAAAAGGATGATATAAAAGCAAAGTAAAAATGAACACTCCAAAACCATTTAATTGTACTCTTCATCTTTTATTTCCTGAGTGTCATTGTCTTTGGTTTGATGTTGTCTTTATCTGAATTTTTAACTTTTTTCAAATATTGCTGTCTGATTGGAACTAGATTATTAAATGCTGTCTGGCACAACATTTCTATGGTTATTTATGAAACATATAATGGCTAATTCCTGTTCTTACTGCCTAGGTCACTGATACATCCAGAGGACTTTAAGCATTTGCAAATATGAGACTGATTTCAGAACTTCTTAGAATAGTACAAAATTATCTGAATAGTTTGTTTATAAATGTACAACAGTATTATTTTTAATGTCTAACATTAAATTTAAATATAGATTACCTTAGCTATATTACCAGTATATCCTGGAACCAAAGTAAGATGGTTTTCTTGTTCCCACAAGCCACTTAATTGTTGTTTTAAAATCTGAATATTTCTAGGAGGAAAAAAAGAAGAGAAACAAATAGTGGGATATGAACTTTGACAGTAAACACAATCTAATGAAAAGAATTTTTAATTTTGTTAAATTTTACAAGGAGAAAACTACATTATTTAAAGTCAAGTAACTATTTAAAATAGGACATGTCAATCACAGAAATTCAAGGTTATTTAGCTGTCCAAGTAGATAAGAAAACAACTAAGAATTTACAGCATTGGACAATCTGTTCTTGGGTATGAAATGGGAAATTTTGAGAGCTTATAGAGAAAAATCAATGGGTGTTAAGGAAATTAGGAAATTTTTGCAGCTTCATGACAATCTGGCTCATTTAGTCAATACCAACACATTTTTACAGTAAGATAATACTCAAATTATGATTATAATATAGTTTTTACAATTGTAATCAACATCAGACTCCCAGGTTAATGTCTAGATAACCAAAGAACCCTGCAGAATTCCTCCATTCCTTATTCCCCTCCCCTACTCACAGAATGGATATGGGGGTTAAGCCACTGTTGTGCTTTTTCTTTCTAAAATGAAGGGTAGGTTCTGCTAGGAGGGATATAGGGGATTACTGGGCTCTGGAATTTAATTTCCATGTGTGATTTTCACAAATGAACAGTGTTAATATTTCTTTGAAAATGAACAGAATAAATATTATACACTGATGATCATGGGATAAAATTACCACCTTGTTTAAAGTTGCTTTCCTGAAGAAAACTTAGCAAAAAATTATCTTTTTGCTATTTGTGGTGTTGGGGATTGAACCCAGGATGAATTTATCTTCAAAGTCATACTCACCCATCACTTATAATTTCTGTTTTGGATGATAGTTCTGACCACCACCTTTTTATTACAGCTTGAAGCCAGTTTAAACCAACTATCACATATCTGAAATGACATTATATTACAAAATTCGAGTGTTTTCATCCAAGAAGCCTTTATAAAGATGATACTGTCCCCCCAAACACACATACACACTGACCTTGCCCCTTTTAAAAAATTTCAGTACTTTTATGTCATATTTCTTAAAACTATATTTTATGTAACTTGTTTATAGAAGCTTCTATAATTGTTCTTCAGTCATTTCACATTCTTTTCCTAATTTACTATAAGCTCCTTGAAAACAGAAACCATGGATAGTCCATGGAGCCAAATCCACTACTATGTACTCAAAACACACAAAATCAAGGATGTTGAAAGAGAAAACTGAATTAAAATTTAGATTAGCACTTACTCTTCAAATTTGCTTTTAAGTAATGACTTTACAAGAGGCAATAAGTCTACACAGCAGCCAAGTGAGATATATTGTTTTTCTTCCTGTAAACTAAAAGAAATCCTTAAGTTATGAAATTATAAACAGGCCACAAATTGTCCTTCTTTAAGCTTACATTACTTTTTTTTCCTAAAAAATACTAATTTTACCTATTAGTGAGTACAGGCAGGCAATCTACCACAACTCCAAGATCTTCTATCCTGGGGGTACAAAAAGGATAGCATTGCTTAGAGAGCCAAATTCCTTATTTACTTTCATATTATAATCATCATACTGGCTTTTAGAAATTTATTAACAAATAATCCCAGTGTCTATGATGAGTCAGATATTGAAATACAGCAGAAAACAAAGAGATAGGACTTGCATCATTCCACTTCTGTGTGTGTGTAGGAGGTAGGGGTGGGCTTGCAGAGATAGATAATAAACAAACAAGTAGAAATATACAAAGTTAGGTTGATGATGATAAATGCTATGGAGAAAAATAAAACAAGGAGGGAGACAGGGAGTTAAGAAATAACTATTTTTAAATAAGATAACTGAGGAAGTCCTCCAAAAGGTAACATTTGAGAGACCTGAATAAAATGAAGGTAATATACAGAAGGTTTTCTGTATTCTGATTACTCTTAGACTGGTGATGAATGTAATTTAAACCRTACTGTCTCTATGGAAACTAAACATAGAAGTTTTTAGCTGATAAAAGCATAAAAAAAACAAGAGGCATTTCTAATATCACATTGAAAATTACTTGTACTGAACTAAGAGCATAAAGGGCACACTTACCTCACCAAATAAGCTACAAGTTCACTTATACTTCTCTTTCTCCAGAAAGTTAAAGCTACATTCAGTCTCAAATTCCTGCTAAACAAAACTTGGGCCATTGTTTCATGATCCTGAGAAACCTGAAAGGCAATAATCTAGTTTGTTAAAAAGCACACTGAAACATGATATTAAACTATTTTTTTCAATGGAAACAGTCTACTGACATAGTTTTAAATTATGCAAAGGTGACTCCTTATACTGGGCTCAAAAAAGAATACTGCAGTTGAACATAGTAAACAAATGATGTGAACAAATATAAAGTCTTTTTTTTTCCTTGCTACCATTTTTCTTTTAAAACCCAATAATTTATATGACAAATTACTTTTAGCTATTTATAAGTGTGAATAAAAGGAAAAGGTAAACATAGGCTAGACATTAACAACTGAATGGTATAAGAAAGAAACGACAAAAATTTAGTTCTGTGACAAGCAATATAATATCATTTAAATGTGTCTACTTCTATGTAATAAGGCAATACAATTATATTGTGAGAAGTTTAAAACAGAGCTAAATAAGATCAAAACTGGATACTCTCTACTGGCCTACAAAAACATTCAGTTTCACTCCCCAGAAATAATCACAGCTAATAGACTGGCATGTATCTTTCTGAACCATATTCTGACAAATAGGTACATATGATTATACTCTGAAAAAATAAAATAAAATCTACATTTTTTAAAGCCTTGCTTTTTCACTTATATGAACAATTTCAACATCAAAACATAGACTGACCTCATTTTTAATAGCAAATTCTCCAGTCTTTATATATCATGGTTTGTTTAGATTGATTTTGGTTTTTACTATGTATCAGTGAACATCCTGATGTATGTAAATATGTGCACTTTTATTATGATTAATTTTATAATTAGAACAGCTAGCAGGTTTGCCTGAATAAAACTTCTACTAGGCAATTCTGAGAGCTCAACAAACTGTGCCTAGATAATGGGCTTTGGTGATCCACTTTTTAGGCAAGATTTGTCTTTTTCCTTTAGTTTACACCTCTATTGGCCAACCTGTCATTCTGGATATTTACAGCAGCTTGTCAAGCATTTCACTAAATCTTATATATTGCTAGATTAGAGAAATGGAAGAAATCATTGATTCAAATTTGGTTAATCTAGAAAATTATCTGAGGGAATTACTATCACTCAAATAAGCCTGTATTCAATGGGTGGTAAATTATTATGATAGAAGAATAAGCCAAACAAATAGCCAATAATATCACAGGAATAAAACTAAACATGATTTAGAAAAATTTCTTACCTCGGAAAAAAACCCACTGTATTTAGATGATGGGCTTTCTGTCTGTGAAGTACCAGAGTCACTGGAGTTAACCAAATATGTTCGACTATCATGGTGTAATTTTTCAGGTAGGTGGCCTGCACAAGCCAGTTCATTTTCTTTATTTGCCATGTCACAGCCCCCACTTATAGGGGACTGTTTTTTTCTGTAACAAGGATTTGGAAAAGGATGCTGAACTTTCTTTCTGCGATAGATCACCTTTCGTAGTTTATCTGGGCTTTTCACAGCTTGGCCAACTGTTCTGTAATAAGAATTTGTTTTCTTAAGTGAAAAAAAATATAAAAACTTTTTAAGTTTTTAAACAGAGATTTAATAGGCCATGTTTTGTGACTGTATTCTAATAAAATTAGAAGTAATTAGAATTTAAAAAGTGTTAACTATTAGTTATAGAGGAAAATAAAAAAGAAGTTACAAATTACATGGAAAACAATGAAAAAAAAAAGACCAGATGAAAATAAAGACATAACTAGATACTTTTTAAATGAAATAGTAAAAGGCCATTTGGGAAAAAGAAAATTACAACTTTTTTGAGATATCTACTCTTTCTCTGACAAAGTGATAAACTGCCAGTTTGAATATTTTTAACATAATTTTGATAAAGGAGAAGTATATTTAATTTGAGTATGACTGAACACAACAGAGCAAACCTTACATACTGTGGTCCTCAAATGTTTTGGTATCAGGATGCCTTGCACTCTTAAAAATTTTCAGGGCTTAAAAAAATTTTTTATGTGGGTAATATGTACTAATATTAATGGTATTAGAAACTAAAACTGGGAAAATTTAACTCATTTTAAAAATAATAGACTTATTACATATTGTTATGGTATGAATCTTAAAAGTCCCTCAGAGGCMCATATACTAAAGGTTTGGTCAATAGGCTGAGGTGCTATTAGGAAGGGTTAGAATCTTTACAAGGTGGAGGAGCCTGGTAGAAGAAAGGTCATTTGGAGAATGSCCTTGAAAGTGATATTGGGATCCTGGATCCTTCCTCGATTTTTCCCTTCCTAACTGCAACAAGACAGTTACTTTTGCCACATGCTTCCCACCATGATGTACTGCTTTGCCACAGACCCAAAGGCAACAGGGCCAAATGACCATAACCTCTGAAATGGGAAGCCAAAATAAATCTCTCCACCTTATWCCTTTTTTATTTCAGGTGTTTTTGCTGACCAACATTCTTCTCACAGAATATTTTACCAACCCTTTCCCCTAAGCAAAMAAACAAAAACAAAAACAACTATTTTATAAATCAAAAAACAAACAAAAACAAGTGACAACAATGTTTTACGTTTTTGCAAATCTTTAATATTTGGTTTAAGAGGAGACAGCTGTATTCTCATTTCTGCTTCTGCATTTAGTCTCTTATGATATCAAATGTCATGTCACCTCTAGAAAACTATCATACCATTTTCAGGAGAGTGAATATAAAGAAAAATATGTTTTAGTATTGTTATGAAAATAGTTTTGACCTCACAAAGTCTCTGAAATGATTTCAAGATCCCTAGGTTCTTGGATCACACTTTAAAAACCAGTGCTTTTGTAGGAAAGTCATTTTAGAGTTAGGCAGATCTAAAAATGTATGCCATGTTTACCACTTTTTGACYGATCCTGAACAAATCAGTTTTCTTATCTGACCTTAAGTTTTCTCACCATTATGGGTAATGATACTTATTGAGTAGGATGTTTGAAGGGAAAGGAGATAATATTGATATCTGTATTAGTGTAGCCTGGAACAAAGGAAGTGTTTAATAATAACTTAACTATTATAACAGAATATTTATTTTCCCCATATTTTCATTGTTCCCCAACTTTTGATATTTGCTGTTGCACACAAACTTTAAAAAAGTTCTTACCTATTTATATAAGCAGCCAACTGTTTTGGAGATTTCTTAACCTGAAAAAAAGAAAGTAAACAGTTGTGGCACATTAAATTCTTTAATAGGGTTATATGTCAACTTTATGACTGATGTCAACAAAATTAAAATTCAATAGATATATTTTTGAAGTTAAAAGCTTCTTCTGTCCTAACAATCATTAGGCACAAGCTGGATGCAGTGGTGCACATCTGTAATCCCAGTGACTTCGGAGGCTGAGTCAGAAGGATCATAAGTTCAAAGCCAGCCTTGGCAACTTAGTAAGGCCATAAGCAATTTAGTGAGACCCTGTCTGAAAATATAAAAAGGGTAGGGGATGTGGCTCAGTAGTAAAGTGCTTCTGGGTTCAATCCTTAGCACCAAAAAAAAAAAAAAAAAAAAAAAAAAATTAGGTACAACATTGTAGTTAGGTATCCGTGACAAAGCAACACATCCATCTCCCTATTTTTCACACCACTAGTCACATATTATGCTTATAAGGGGCTTAATATGTGAGTTGAGGTTTAGTATTATTTAAAAGAAATTATATCAATACTAACAAACTTTGTAATATTGAACAAAAGGAATCCCAGAGCTTGCTCTTTTTTTTAGAAAATATATTTTAGTTGTCGATGGACCTTTATTTTATTTATTTGTTTATATACAGTGCTAAGAATCAAACCCAGTGCYTCACCTATGCTAGGCAAGACTCTACCACTGAGCTACAACCACAGCCCTTTTATTTGTTCTTTATAGTTATACACAAGAGTAGAATGTATAATGTATTTTGACATATTATACATACATGGAGCATAACTTCCCATTCTTATGGTTGTACATGATGTGGAGTTACACTGGTCATGTACTCATATATGAATATAGGAGAGTTATGTGCAATTCTGAGCTTCCTCTTATACCAAAATATTAGAATTATAGCATATCAAAACAGTATACTTAACAAAAAGTTTTTAGAGCTTTAGGAATGTAATGGCTATACTTCAATAATTCTACTTAATTCTAGCATATTAAGCAAAATTATTACCCTCCCATTAAACAATTTAACCAGAACAATCTATAGACCTGACTATTTAAACTGACCTGCCCATTTCTTAGAAACCATGGACTTACCTCCTTCATGTTCTTATTAGTGAAATTAGAGATCTTTTTTCTAGGAAGATCAATGGAATGATCCTCAATATTATTAGAAAAGTTTCGTTTTTTAACATTGTGGGTTTCAGATGCCATAATCTCTTAAATACCTAAGGAAAATAATAGAAAGTACAAAAAAGAAAAGAATATGATCATTTTTTGTTAGCACATAAACATCAACAGCTTCACACTGTGTAAAAGAGGCATATGAGTTAAACAGAAGACTATCTTATACATTTTAAAACTTTAAACACAAAGGAAACATAAGACAGGGTATTCCAGGAAATTTTTTCTGTTCTCATTTTTTTTCAGTCACAACCAGTTGCAATAATATTATATACTTTTGCCAAAGCAATAGTCAATCTCCCCATTTCCCGTATCACTAGACATTTTGAAGAAATCAGAATTTAGGTCCGTACATTTAAATGGTATTTATAATATCCAAAGGTACAGAAACCTAAAATTTTGGAGCCACATGACTGTAAAATAAAAAGAGAAAACCCTTTGCAACCAGAGGAACCAAAATCAGATTACATACATAAAGTTGACCCCCAAAACAAGTAGACAATCTGACTTGCCCAATGCCTAATCTTTAATTTTTTTTTTCTTATATTCTTGTAGCCTGTTCTCCAAAACTGTCCTTTTCTTTTGGGGGGGGGGGAAATCAAGCCTCTATTATTTCCTGAATATCCCAAAGTGGTGGAAACAGATGATATCACTACATTTATAAAAAGAGAAAATCAGTGATTTCCCTACTTGTACATTGGTTTTACACAGGAAATTTATTTTAGGTCATATCCTGACCATAAACTCCTCCCTAATTCTTTCTTTATATATTAAAAAGCATTCACTATATGCCAGGTCCTGGAGATAATAGGATTATACTCAGAAATCCTGTTCTAAAGAATCATTTAGGAAGTTTTTTTGAAAACACACCTTATTGAGCCCTAATTTTAAAGACTCTACTCAGTAGATCTCTGGAGCAGAGCCTAAAGCAACTATAATTTTTAAAAAGCTCCATGGGTATTTCTGATGCACATTCCATATTTTCAAAAAATATGCACACACATCAAATTTTGCAAATAATTTTAGGTTATTGTAATATATCCTGCAGCTAAGATAATGAACAGCCTTCCCACCTGTATCTCTAGATTAAGAAACCTTAAGGGTGAGTTTTTTAAAAAAATAAATAATTCCAATAATACCATAAGCATTCTGACAGAAAGGACCTAGACAATCAGCAAAGCTGAAAAGAGAGGACAAACAACATAAAGAGAAAATAGCATGCATAGAACTGAGAGGTATAAAGGAACATGGTTTATTTGGCAATCACTTAAATAGATACATGTGGTTGGGGCTTAGGCTGGAGGCCCATTGGAGCAGAGCGAGATATGAGGCTAGAGAAATAGGCAGCAGATAGACATAAARGGTTTCTTGCACAATGCTAGCCTTTTTTTTTTTTTTTTAAATAAAAAAAGGTACTTTTGGGGCTGGGGTAGTGGCTCAGTGGTAGCACGCTCGCCAAGCATACACGAGGCACTGGGTTCGATCCTCAGCACCAAATAAATGTAAAATAGATTGTGTCCACCTAAAACTAAAAAATAAATATTAAGAAAAGGTACTTTTAAGTTAAGTATAATGGACTGAACACATATGATTACTTCTATCCTTTCCTAAAAGCCATTAAAATAACAGTAGAGTTTTTTTTTTTTTTTGAGAGAGAGAGAGAGAGAGAATTTTAATATTTATTTTTTAGTTTTTGGTGGATATAACATCTTTGTTTGTATGTGGCGCTGAGGAGCGAACCCGGGCCGCATGCTACTGCTTGAGCCACATCCCCAGCCCCATAAAAGGCATAAAACCTATGAGGACAAAGAAAACATGAGATGAAAGCAACATTTACAAACTGCAAAGCCAAAGTGGTCCTTGACTTGGCAGATCTGAGAAACCCAAATTCTAAATCTGTAAGAAAGGTGAAAAGCAGAATTCCTTAAAGCAGAATTGACAATAGAAGCAGACAGATTGAATATCTATTTAAGACACATTTGAGAAATCCAAATCCTGAATCAGCAATGAGGAAAGGTGAAAAGCAGAACCCCTTAAAGGGTTAGGAATTGGCAATATTTACTCAAGAAGTGGGGAAAAAGGTAACCATAAAAAAAGTAGATGGATTGAATATTTAATGCATAGTTAGTTTCCTTCTCCATTCTAGAAAAAGACTAGAGTTTTATTCTACAGGAAATGTAAATCAGAGTCCTTGGGATGGGAAACACCAAGCATAAATATGGTTAAGAGGAACATATTCTGAATCAGAGGAATCAATTAAAAGTTTATATGCTAAATGATCAATCATTTCACCTTTTTTCTATCACTGAAAAAAAAAGAGGGCAGAAGATGCTTTGGGAACTCTGACAGCCCTATAGGAATAAACACWCATACATACACACACACACACACACACAAAAAAAATGTCATTATGGTGATCAGAGCTCCCAAAGAACTGCTCTACATCTTGATTATGGTGGTTGTTACCTGTGAAAATTAATAGAACCATACACTAAAGGAAGTAATTTTTTCTTCTCTTTTCTTTCTCTCTCTCTCCTTTTCTTTCTTTCTTTTTTTTTTTTTTTTTGGTGGCTCTGGAGATTGAAACCAAGGATGCTCTACCTCTCTCTGAGCTTTACACCCTATAGCTCAGTGTAATTTTATTTTGAGACAGGGCCTCATGAAGTTGCCTCTGCTGGTTTCATACAGTTGATCCTCCTGCCTTAGGCTCCTGAGTTGCTGGAATTTCAGGTCTGTGCTACTCCCTGTAGGGGTGAATTCAAGGATGAATTTTAATTTTGCATAAATTATACTTCAATAAACCTGACTTTAGAAACACTTTCAAGAGAGAATATGAAAATATATCCATGAGATGGAAATGAGAAAAAACAAACCAACAAAATGATTGTTGGGAAATTAAAAACAATAATATAGTAGAAAAACTCAACAGAAGATGGAAGAGAAAGCCAAGGATCTTTCCTAGAACATAGGGCAAAAAAGATTAAAAACAAGCAAAATCAGAAGTTGGGTTTTAGGGATCCAATAAAGGAATATGATAAAGAGTAGAGAAAAAATAAGAAATTTTAAAAGAAAACTGTACAAGTTTGAGTGACATGAATTTCCCAATAAAAAAGGCACGCTTTGAGTTATATAATGGAAGAAAAGGCACATCACTGTCAAATTTCAGAGCACCAGAAAAAGGTACAGAAGGTGAAAATCTATAACAAAATGAAAAATATGCCCTCAAATTCAAGCCTGTTCATACATAACTGATAAAGATAAGGAGCAATGACTAAAATTCTCAGGCAACTTAAAATTTTACATATAGCCAAATTATCAATCAAATCTGAGGGATGAAAGAACATATCTGCAGATATTCAAAGCTGGAAAAAAAAATTCTTCCCAGTAAGCAATAAAGGGAGGGCGACAACAAGAAATGGAGGTGTAACAGGAGAGATGRAATCGACTTCCCAGGACAGTCATAAAGGAAAATCTCAAGATAAAAAGGTTGTTCACCAGGAGTAGAGGACAACCAGTCTATATCAGAGCAGGTTAGGATTAGAAGAGTAGTCGCCACAAAACAACCACCTGATGTTCACTAGAGATGGAGATAACTGGGAAAAGTCAAAAGAAAGCAGTACATATTTTTCAAGTGCTAAAAGAAAAAAAATGCAATCCAGAATTCTGTAGGCAGAGAAAATATTCTTCAGGAATGAAGGAGAAACCAAAGCACTCTAAGATGAAAGAAAATTAAGATGACTTCTCACCAGCAGACAGACCTTAAAAGAACAGTTAAAAGAAGTTCTATTCAGTTGAATAAAAACAAAAAGGAAATGATAAAATAATAAATATTAGAACATCAAGGAGGTAGAAAGAAAATGGTAACTGAAAAAATACAGGTAAATGCAATAGACTTCTGTTCTCAAGTTTTCTAAATTACTTTTGATGGCTGAAACAAAATTTATATGATGTGGTTCACAACATAAGCAGATAAAGTATTTAAGACAATATGGTGGAAGAAAAAAAGGGACACTTTGCTCAAACTAGTAAAAGGACAAACACCAGTAAATTGTGTTAAGATATGCATATATAAGGTACTATCTTATGAATTAATTGTATGATGTCTATAAGAAATTCACTTCAAATATGATTTAAACAGAAAGTAAAAGGGAAGAAAAAAATGTATAGTGTAAATGTGAACTTCCAAAAGCAGAAGTGGCTATATTAATATCACATAAATATGTTAGAGAAAAGAAAATTACCAGAGACATAGAAAAAACTTATCGAATGACAAAAGGGCTTATCCATCAAGCAAGCATAGCAATGTTACATGTGCACCAAATAATGCAGGTGAAATATACATGAAACAAAAACAGGGCTGAAAGGAGAAAGGGACAAATTCACAATACTTGAGGACTTCAATGTCCCCTCTCACCAACTAACAGAACAACTGAAGAGAAATTCTCATCACATAAACCAACAGGATCACATCAACATTTATAGAATATTCCACCCAATACATACACATTATTTTGAAATGTGATAGGACAAATACCAAGATAGAATATATCCTGAGCTATAAAACAAACCATAATAAATTTATTTCTGTGGAACATAGCTAAAATAGTTCTGAGGGAAATTATAGGACTAAAATGGATATAAGAGGAAATATCTGAGATCAATAATCTAGGCTCTTACCTAAAGAACCTTGAAAAAAGAAGGGCAAAAGAACCATAGGCAAGCAGAAGGAAGGACACAGTAGGGAACAGAAATCAATAAAAGTGAAGAAAAATAATCAATGAAACATAGTTGGTTCATTGGGAAAAAAAAAAAAGGAAAACAAAAAACTAGCAACCTCCAGGGAGACTGACAAAGAAAAATAAGAGATATGAATTCCCAGTGTCAGGAATGGACAAAAGATATTACTACGGGCTCTACAAATATTGAAAGGCAGTAAGAAAACACTAACTAGTCTACAAACATAAATTTGCTAAGTTAAAGGAAGAGGGTTAATTTCTATTTAAAAAACAACAACTAACTGGATATGGTGGTGTACAACTGTAAA